GATCCGCCATCTTGTTTGCTCTCTCGGGTTACAGCTTTTTAAAAAGGTCATTCTGTTTAACTTTTAGGAACTTCCAAATTGGTTTTAGAGGCTTGACTTGGAGGAGCTGTGGATAGCACTGAGGACCCAAAGGGCTATGACCTCCTTGGAGGACAAGTTGGGTTCTCTAAAGACTAGGAGTGGCCCATGGGGAATGGGCCCCTCTTCCCACCTGTGACCCTCATTCAGCAGAGTTAAAGTCCCAGACTCTGACTGCCTGGCCGCAGGAACCCCTTTCCTGGCTTTCTCCAGTTTCTGTGGGGCTGCTCTGCCCACCGCAGCCCTCCAGCCACACCTGGGAGCAACTGCTCTAGGGTCCCCGAGTCTCCTCTAGGAAGGCCTCCTCTATTTCTTCCCCAGACTGCATTTGGACCTCAAGGCCCCCCATCCCCGGAACGGCCTCCCAATTTCCACCACCTCACCCAAACTCCAGCCAATCTATGGAACTTTCTGCTCCAGTCAGATACCCTAGCTGATTGCATCCTAGGTGCCTTCACAGCCACCATGTGTCTCAGGAAGAGGATTCCGTAAATCCAGAGAGAGGGGAGAGAAGGTGAACAGGGCTTAGTCCGGGGAACAGGGGGTCAACTTTGAGAAAGAGCCGAGGCTCCGCCCCACTGACTGGGGAGAGTGGCTGGTCAGCTGAGCTGAGGCACTGAAGGCAGCTCCTTGAGACTTGGGAAAGGCCAGGCTTGCCAGGAGGCTGAAGGCAAGAGTTAGTAACAAGGAATGTATTAAAAAGCTCCCAAACCACTTCAAGGCCTGTGGGCGAGTTAAAGAAGCCACATTAAGGCGTCCTTCAGTGCTTTTTTCAACCTTTGCCTGGCTGTGGCCTCCTTCGGTGCATCCTCCCCTGACTGAGCTCAGGCCCCGCATTTCCCACCCTTCTGGCCAGGGGGTCCCCTCTGTTAACTGAAGTGAAGCCGCCTGACCTTGGAGTCAGAGCTCCTCCCATTTTTGGGAGTGGAGGGAGGGCTTTGTCTCCTGAAGGTTCGCTTCCTCCAGGGTCAAGGGGTCACTCCTGTGACTGGTGGCCATGCTTGAACTAAAACCCAAAGTCCCCAACTTCCTCCGATGTAACCCGGGCCCTGCAGACAGAGATGGAAACTATGCAGCCTTGTTCTTGTGCGTGGGTGAGTGCAGGAAACTCCACACTTGTAGGAAGAAGGTGAGAATCATGTCTGCCTCTGGCCATGGGCAGTCTTGTCCTTCCGTGAGTCACGGCTACTCCGGACTGGACAACCCCCAACTTCTCCGGCAACCTGGCCCTGTCTTCCTTGGTTGGTGGTGGCCCCCATGGTTCTGACGGTGACCTCCCTTCCTTCTAGGATGTGGAGACCAGCCCCAAGGTTGAGGCGGTGCTATCTCTCCTGGATGCCCCAGGTCTGAAGCTGGTGCGGCCTAAAGCTCTGCTGGACAACTGCTTCCGGGTCATGGACCTGCTCTACTGCTCCTGCTGTAAGGAGCCTAGTGGGTGGGGCTGGGGGGCGGGATTTGTGTCTATATCCGGGCCAAAAGCAGGGCACCTGCGGGGATTTTGGGAAGCGGAAATGGGCTCTGAGTAGAGGGTCTTGGGGGCAGAGGCGAGTGCGTTGCCACTGAAGAAGGAAAGCGCTTGAGCACCTCCCTTGTGTTTCTGCTCCCTGCAGGTAAGCAGAGCTCGCTCCAAATCTGGCAGGACTGTGAAACGCCGAACTCTAAGCGCCCTCAGCCCCTATCTCAGTGCGAGGCTGAGAGGCTGTACCCTCCGCCCCAGCAGCCCTCCACTTCTCTGCTGGGCTCCCCAGGGGTGGAGGAGCAGGGGAGGGCGAAGGACCAAGGCTTCCTGCCCTGACGACCCGGTGGTGACCCTAGGAAGGCCGAGCCTGCCTTGGGAGGGGAGCCTCGGGAAGGCTGTTTTCCCTCTGAGGGAATTCAGTGCCGGAGAATGGCTCAGCGACCTGCCTCTGTACCTACCCAGCATTGGTCTCACCTGGAGCCGCGGGGCTCGGAGGACCTGAAGGTGGACAAGGGCAGACACGGCCCCTCCAGGCAGCATTCTTAGTGCCTCCCTGGGCCTGAAAAAGCCGGTTGTCTTGTAGTCCATTCTGACTCATGGCGCCCCCATGTGTGTCAGAGCAGAACTGCGACTCATAGGTTTTCCCTGGTTAGTACTTCTAGGCGCCTGTGGTTGGATTCCAATCTCCCCACCTGTGTAAGCAGCCAAACGAGTTAACCTGGAGGTGCTAAATGTCTCCTGTCACCTGCGGAGGAGATAGCTGTGCTGGGAGGTTAGGTGGGGATGGGAGGCAATGCACGGACCCCACAACCTACCTTGCGTCAACAGAGTGCTGGAGAAGGGGTGGAGCCAAAAGCCACATCTTGCCACCGTGGGCAGTTTCTTTCTTTTTTCTATTAAACACCCGCTTTGTGTTTTGTTTTGATTTGGTCTGCTTTGCATCTGTGAGGGTGAGCCTAGGAGCTAGGCTGGAGCCCCTCTGTGGTCCCATCCACACTGGGTGGCCTCAGCTGGCCAAGGACAGAAGGTGAGCCCAGGGGGTTGGTCTTGCCCAGACTCCTGACCCTTGGGCTTGGCTTGAGGATTTGGAATGGATGGAGTCGCCAGGGGGTGTGGAATTGCAGACGTTTAGGGCTGGAGTTCTTCAAAGCCTGCTTCTTCACAGGGATGGGGTGGGCGGGGGTGAGACTCTGGGTTAGGTTCCTCCCAGCCCCTGGCACGGATGAAGGGGTGGCGTTCCAGAGGCCTTGGTCCTGGCACAAGGTGTGGTCTTTTTGGCCCTTGTAGTCTGGCCAGGTGGTTCCTGGAATGCAGGACAGAGCCATGCAGTAGGTGAGGTGAGCCAGCAAGCCAGGCAGCGGCAGGGGTGTTAATTACAGTACGACTTTATTAATACTGGAATCTTCACAGTGCATTTGTTACTTGTAGCAGTGACTATTTAAATCAAGGGAAGGATGGGGTGGAAGTGGGGAGAGGAGAGGAGAATTTATCCAAAAACTGGCGGAAAGAAAAGAAACAATATGGTTCCAATGGGATGGCGGGAAAGAAAAAGTGAGTAGGATCCAGGATGGGAGGCCTGGGCGGGAAAATAAATTAAGAAAAGGAACAAGTTAACAACAGCACCAGAAAAGTTACTTCAGTCAAAAGACGCTTTTGAAAAGAATATTTCTCTGTACATGAAAAATAAAAGGAACGAAAAGAAAAAGAAGTCCCCCAAACCAAAGTCTGATATGGGTGATTGGCTCGGATCCCGAGGGGGTGGACCTACGAGGTGGTCACTAAGCGCGTAGAGTATATACAGCCCCAGGTGGCTGGGGGGAAGGAGGGCAGGGCAGGCTGTGCCATATATGCCCTTCCCTGGGAAGCCCCCACCTCCCTCTTAAGCCCAGGGCTCTCCCACCCCTGTGGAGCTGGAACAGAGGGGTGGGGCAGTACCTGCCCCCCTCAGGGGAGGCAGCTCTTCCTCACCAGACCCTCATACTTGTGACACCAAGGGGAGTGAGCAAGGCCCCAGCATGCTACCCCACCCCTGCCATTTTCACATACCCCATACTTCAAGCCATCAGCCTGCCCGGGCAAACCCCAGTGGGACTGTTCCTGTCCTGCACTACACTTTCAGGTACCTGCTTTCAGCCCTCCGCGAGCTGAAGGCTGTCTGCCCAGAGCCCAAATGGCTGCCCAGATTCTAGCCCAAGACCTGCCAGGATCTCAGCCTGGGGCTGGGAGTCTGAGATCAGCTCAGTGCCATGGAGACAAGGAAAAGCCCCCTCTCCTGGCCCTGGAGAGTCCCTGCCCTTTGGCCCAAGTTGGTGGCACCACCAGGAGCTCCACTGCTTGGGGCTCCTGACCTGGGAGAATGCTGGGAAAATGCTGGAGATGGATACCCCACCCCCCGACCCTGCTGCCAGCACAGGGCCCAGGCTTCAGTGGGCACCATCTGAGGTGGCATGTCCTCCAGCAACAGAGTCAATGCTAACCTTCCTAGGACATGTCTGCCCAGTTCTGACCTACAGCCCCCAGCTGGGTCCTGGCACACATTGACTGTATTTTGGCTAGACTCCACACTGGAGAGTAACAGCTGCCCACCGGATTATGGGGGGCCAACTCCTCCCTCCTGCTGCTGCGGCTCCTCAAAAACACATACCCTGTCACTCTGCGTTTATACACTGTCCTTATCCCAAGTCAGCTCCACTTCTACTTTGCTCATAAAATACCCCCCACAACCCTGTATATAGCTCCAGCCCCCATCCCAAAGGTGGCTGAAACTGACCCCAAAGTGCCACCAGAGTTAAAGTTTGATGTCCCCAGATGAGAACTGATTACCTGAGAACAGTCCTGCGGGCTTGGCTGCAGGACCCCCAGGCTCCTGGGCCCCTCATCGACTACCTGCATTCTCTGATTTCGGAGGGGCTGTTCTGTTCACCCCTGCGAAGGTCTTAAGGCCCCTGAGCTGCCTCCCCAGACTCCATTTGAGCCTCAAGGCCCCCTATCCCAGCTTCCACCTTTCCCAAATCCCAGCCAATCTGAAATGTTCTGATTTAGTCAGACACCTTAGTTGATTGGGCCCCAGGCTCCTCCAGTCACCGTGCCTCCCCAGATGCAGGAGCCGGGGAAAGGCAGAGAGGGGAGAAAGAATGGGGTTCGTTGGGCAGGAGGGGTCAGCATTTAAGGAGGAGCTGAGGCCCCGCCTGTGGAGGGAGTGGCCGTGGGCTTGCTGAGACATGGGAAAGGCGGGGCCTGCTGGAGGGAGGAGGGAAGAGAGTAGCAAGAAAAGTGTAAAACAGGCTCCCAAACCAGTTCGAGGCCTGCCGTCGCGTCCTGGCAGCATGTTATAGAAGTTTCCTGTTTTGATATTGACATCTAAGCTGGGTGTCTCTCCGTGAAGTGGCTTTAAAAAACGAGACCCCGTGGCTCCGTTCCCTCTGCAGCGCATCCGCGTGGTCCCTCGCCTGAGCTGCTCCAAGCAGACCCGGCCAGCTGCCTCAGCGAGGCTAGAGTCTGGGTGTCGCCATCACAAGATGCGGGGCGCTGACCTGTCGTTGGTGACCGTCCTGCGGAGCCGCACTCCACGCCGGATGGCCACTAGCATGTCTTCAGCTGGGGGGTCGCCGGTGGCGGCAGGGGGCGGGGTGGGTGTCTCCTCTGCCGGGGCGGCGGCCAGCACCGTGGGGAAGGGAAACTGGCCCTCGCCTAGCGCGTGGGCGCCCGCCACCAGCTCCCCGAGCTTCTCCACCAGGCTGTGCCGGTTGGCAGCCAGTTGCTGCTGCTGCTCATCGTCGTCCTCCGGCCCTGGCCCTGCCTCGGTCGCTGGGCTCCCCCAGGCTGTGTTGGGTAGACTGAGCCTCTTTGGGGAGGCCTTGGCCAGGTCCACCGCCAAGGGCGAGGCGGCCTCATCCGTGTAGAAGACGCACTCCTCGCTGCCCGCACGCGTGGGACCCGTGTAGCTGGGGGAGTCAGGCACGGTGGGCGTCTTCACCGGCACGATGGGCGGCCGGATGGGGATGGGGCCTGCGCTGGAGAGGGCGCGGCGCACTGTGGGCTTGGTGGAGGGCGTGCGGCGGATGGTAGCCACGCCAGGGGGCGCGCCTGAGGGCAGGCCTGTGCCTGAGGCAGTGGGCAGCCCTGCGGTGGAGGCCGGACGCTTGGTCTGGATCAGGCGGCGATAGTTCTGGGCGATGTTGCTGTTGCGAGGGATAGTGGATGACTTGTCGAACTCTGGCGGGCCCTCGCTGTCTGCGTCCCCGTTAACTGAGTAACAATCGTAGTCGGAGCCTAGGGGCGGGCACAGGATGCATTGAAGGTGGGCTTCAGGCCCCTACCGAGTTTGTCTCTGCTTCCCCTACCGTCCCACTGGGCGGGGCCCTCTAGAAGTGAAGTTTTCGTGCCCCTAGTGGAATTAGCCCGAGGGTCCCAGGTCCTGGAGCCCACCTTGGGAGGGGATGGTATCCTCGGAGCAGGAGGGCGTGGTGGTCTGTGTGCTATAGCCGCTCGAGTACTGCAGCGAATCTCGGCTGCTCTTCTGGTGCTCCAGGCTCAGGCCGCGGGTCAGCACCATGGCCAGGTCACTGGCCGCGGGGGACACCTCTTCACCGTGCTGGGGGAGGGCAGATACCGCAGGCTGTAAAGACTTGACCCTCCCGGGGGTGGCCAAGCCGGATCTTCCATTTACCTTGGTGATGTGGGCTTCCAGGAAATCTGCACCTACCTTGGCTGCAATGGTGGCAGGGGACATCCGGGGCCTTGGCACCTCCTCGCCCCCAGAGCCCTGTGTGCTCCCACTAGCAGAGCCTGGCTCTGTGTCTCGGAGGGGCTCCACACGGTCCTTCCTTCGCTGTAGGCTGGTGGTCGCCGGCTGTTCATGGGGGCCAACCTTGGACCAGTCCTGTAGGTGTGGGGGCAGGTCAAGGTCATGCTGCCAGAGGTTGAGGGTCCCCCCCTGTAACGTAGGCTCACTGTGTGACCCCTGAGTTCCCCAAGCCCGGGGTGGGGTGAGTGACCCAGGAGGCAAAGATGTGGGTGTAGAGGATGGCGTTAGGTGCACACACCCCTCTGGGTGCTATCAGGGCAGGAGGAGGTGATAAGTTGGTGATGGGTGGGGCTGGGCTGCCTCCCGCTGTGGGCGGGGGGCACTGACCGAGGTGGGGGAGCTGCACTCGCTAACAGACTGGCAGGTCTCCGAGGCTTCGGAGGACGCGGAGCTGGAGGACTTCTGCCATGCAGAGGCGACAGACACGAGCCGGTGGGTGGACAGACAGACAGAGGAGAGAACAGACATAGTCAAAGCGCTGGCATGCAGTGGCTCTGGTTCAGCAGCCCGCCTGCAGCCCCTAGGACCACGGCCACTAAGTGTTGCAGGAGAATGCAGCCCAGAGCACGTGCCCTAGACACTGGCCACCCTGCCCCCTGACCACGAACCGTGCATTTTGATGGCACACAGTGTGGCTCCCTGTGTACCACCTAGACGTAGTGAGCAGGGGGCAGAGAGGTAGTAAGGATGCTGGTTGGGGATTTGGCTGTGGAAGGCAGAGTTGACTATATCTTTGTTTTCTCAGAGGAAAAACCTGAGCTCCGTCCTGCACAGGTGGCTTCAGAGCTGCCACCAAGGTACCTATGTGAGCACGCAGTAGAGGCCCCAGCCTTTGCAAGGCTGCTGCTTAGGGAGGCGTTGGGTTGGAGCCATAAATCTGGCAGCTGTGGGACAGGATAAGGTCACCTAAGTGATAAGTGCAGTTAGGGAATCAGTTCAAGGACCAAGGCTCAGATGGGTCAACATTCAGTGACTGGAAAGCTGAGGAGGATTCAGTAGAGGTGGGTGACAAGGAGCCACCTGTTCAAGGAAGGAGGAGGTCAGATGTGCTGAGGCCGCCGGGGTCCTGCAAAGACAGCGGAGGGAGGAGTGTCCCCTGTGTCTGACCACAGGAGGTCACAGTGACAGAGTTGTGTCCGGAAATGGTGGAGTGCGTAGGGTAAAGAATTGCTTAATGTCTTTATCGTTCATGGGGGCTACATGAGGAGGCTCCTGTTGTATGCGGGCTGGTTACCAGAAAGATCGGTCTGACCTTCAGAAAGGGGAGGGGGCTGGAGACTGGGTTTAACCATGTGGACAAGGATTTGATCAATCATGTGGATGTAATGAAATTCCCATAAATACTCTGGACACTGATGCTCAGGTGAGTTTCCTGGTTGGTGAGGCATTCATTGTTGCAGTGGAGAATAACATGCCTTTTGGGACATGAAGTTTGGCGTTGGGGACTTGACCCTGCCAGATCTCGCCCTATGCCTCTCTTCTATGTGCTAGTCTTGATTTGAATCCTTTACAATAGAGTCATAAGCTTTCCTGAATTTTGTGAGTTGTTCCTGTGAGTTATCACAGGAAGGAGCCCCTGAATTTGTAGCCAGCTTGTAGTGGTGTCTGAGCTCTCGGGCAGATGTGGCAGTCTGGAGGACTGTGCCCCCTAACCTGTAAGACCCAGGTCTGCATGGTGAGGCTGAGAGGAGGAATTGCATTTGAAGTTGGTGTCAGAAGACACATACCCGATGGTGGGAGCCCATTTAAGAGAGGACTGAGGTGTGAATGGGAGATTCCCACTCTTGCAGCAAGCTGACTGAGATCCCCTAAGAGACCCTTCCATTTCAAAACAACTAAATCATTGATCTTAGTATGCCCAGGTTCAGCGAGAGAGGGATGCTGGAAAGGAAGACAAGAAGATAGGAAGATGGTCCCCAAGAGAACAAAAAGAATGAAGGAAAACCCAACCAGAGTAGAAACAGGACTACAGCTCGTGTCCTGCATGACACACAGGATTCCTCAGGGCATACGCTGTCTTCAGCACAGCGGCTGATTGGGAGAATGGGCAACTGGCAGGGCGAAGAGCCCACCCGATGCCTCCTCAAATCAAACCAGGGTACCTAGAAGGGAACAGCAGCTTCCCTGGTTTCTGACAGATTCTCTAAGTCATCACCAGACTGCAGACTCTGATGAAAAGATCATGACCAGACAAGCAAACAAGGCACCGTGGGAGATTCAGGGAAAACAAAAAACAAATTTGACTTTTGGCAATATAATTAAGTTGAAAAATTCAGTGACAAAATCCAACACACATTGATGAGCAGACAAATAAAACTCCACTTAAACTAGGAGTTTAATCTGATAAAAAATCTTTAAAACATAATTGATACTTTCTCCTCTATGATTGGGGAAAAAGACAAGAATGCCCACTGTCACCATTTCTATTCAATATTAGAAGCCCTTTGGTGTTAAGTGTTGGTGTCAAGTTGATTCCAACTGATAACAACCCTGTACAGGGTTTCCAAGGAGCAGCTGGTGGGCTTGAACCACTGACCTTGTATCTAACAGTCCGGTGCTTATACTACAGTGCCACACCAGCCGGTTCTGACTCACAGATTCCATTAGAAACCCTTATTATTGTTAAGTGCCATCCAGCCGGTTCTGACTCACAGTGACCCTGTGTAGGGTTTCCAAGGAGAGGGCTGGTGGGTTTGAACAGTCCAGTGATTGTCCTAGAGGATTCTACTAGAAGTCCTAGCCAGTACAATAAAGCACAAAGAAAAATAAAAAAGAGAAAGACTTAGAAGAAGTAAAAGTCATTATTTACAAATGACATGATTGCATATATAGAAAATCTAAAATTATCTTGAAATTATTAGGATTAGCAAGTCATTTTAAGAAGGTTACTAGTTACAAAAATAGTATAAAACAAGAAATCGATTGTATTTTCCAATACCAGCAACTAACAAGAAAAAAGCCCTGTGTGTGTGTGTGTGTGTGTGTGTGTGTATATATATATATATATCTGTGTGTGTGTGTGTGTGTGTGTGTATACACTTCGTGGGAGAAGGATGCAGGTTTCTGCTCCCAGAAAGATTTGCAGCCTCGGAAACCCTATACAGGGTAGCTATGAATCAGAACCAACTTGGTAGCACTTAACAATATACATATGTAATATACATAGAGAGAGAGAGAGTTTTCAATAGCATCAGTAAACATCAAATGCTCAAGAATAAATCTAGTGAAAGATGTGCATGATCTTTACATTGAAAACTGTAAAACATTATCAAGAGATGATACAGCCTAAATAAATGGAGACATGAAATCCCAGTTAGAATCTTATTTTTATTTTTTATTTTTTTGTGGAAATTGAAAAGCTAATTAAAAAAATTGTAAGAAAATGGCAAGGGTCAAGAACAGACTGCAATATTAAAAAATAATCAAGCTGGGTGATATTCATTACCAGACATCAAGATTTTCTAGAAAGCTAGAGTAATTAAGATCGTGTGGCACTGGCACAAGAACAGACCAAGTGATCAGGGAACGGAAGTAGCCACACACGTACACACACCCGGATTATAACAAAGGCAACACTGCAATGCAGTTGGCAAGAGGCAATATTTTCAATAATGTTCTGGATCAATCTGATCCAGATATCCACATGGAAAAAATAAATTTCTTTACCTCCCCCCCCCAAAAAAAAATTTTCAGATGAGCTCCAGATCTAAATGAAAAAAATAAAAACAGAAAGGCTTTTAGAAGAAAATGGCTTGTGACCTTGGAGGGTGTACATATTTCTCTAAAGTGCATACTTGGAGTCCTGGTGTGGTACTGTAGGAGACCCACTGGACTGCTAACTGCAAAATCATCAGTTCACACCTACCATCCACTCTTTGCAGATCCTAGTCACACAGGGTTGCTATGAGTTGGAACTGACTTGATGGCACGTAGCAACACAACAAAGGGCAAACAAGCCCTAATAATTCAAAAACGGAGAAACCCAACTCTATTAGGAACTTCTGGTCAAAGACTTCAGAAAGAGAACTACGTAACTCACAAAATCAGAGAAGATATTCAATGAAGGACTTGTATCTGTAATCTAGAAAGAGAGTCTTCAATAAGAGAAAGAGAGCCAATTTCGTAGGAAAATGTACAAATGATTTGAACAGGTCCTTCATAAAACAGGATGCTACCGTTCGGGGAATGGCATGGTCTTACCCCACATACCCACCACACTGACTACCATGAAGCAGCACTGGTGAGGATGGAAAATAGCCTAAGCTACCACAATCAGGCTAAAGGAGTCTACACTGGAGCCCTACTTTGGAAAACTTCGGTAGTAACTACCAAACCTGAGTATATGCATGTCCTGTGATTTAGCCATCCCACTCCAGGTATGTACCTAGCAGAAATGCAGACTTGAATGTCTATATTCCTAAACTGGAGACTCTCCAACTATCCACCAAACACCCACCACCCACTCACTGTCTTTGAGTCGACTCTTGACTACTGCAACCTACAGGACAGAGCAGAACTGCCCTGGATGGTTTTGGAGGCTATGAATCTCTACAGAAGCAGATTACCTCATCTTTCTTGTGCAGTGTGGGTTAGAACGACAGACCTTGTGGTTTGCAGTCCAGTGCTTAACCCACTGTGCCACCAGGGCTGCTTCCATCAAATATAGATGAGTTAAGTAACTTGTGGCAGTTACACATGGCATGCTGTTCAGCAATGAGAATGCAATAAACACACGTGAAGCATGGATAAATCTCACAAACATGTCGAATAAGAATAAGGGATACATACTACTATGGCTACTGCGTCAGACGGCAAAGTCATTTGAACTGCAAGGTCAGCGGTTCAAGCTCACCAGCTGCTTCTTGGAAACCCTATTCAGAGTCGCTATGGGTCAGGAGCAACTTGACAACCCTTAACAACAACACTATAGGTATGCATGTTAAATACCAGGTTGGCAGTTCAAATCCACCAGCCATTCCTTGGGAACCCTATACAGGGTCACTATGAGTCGGAACTGACTTCACAACGCTTAACAACAACAACAGTATGTTTATAAAGGACAAAAAGAGACAAGGCAATGAAAGCGACTACAGTGGGAAAAGCTCTCGAAAACACGAAGACCCAAATACTTACCACTCTGGAATCGTGTTCCAAGCAAAACAAATATTCAAGAAAAAGGAATACATAAAGCATGTTTATAGATAAAAACTGAGAGTTTACTATAAACTTAATCTAATGGAACTTCTAAAGAATATAATTATTTTGAAAAGAAGGAAAATGACCTTAGAAAAAATGTTTAAGATACAAGAAGAAATGATAGACAAATGCATAAAACCTATGTTGCTGATCAAAGTGATACAAGAAGATAAAAGTCTAATTTGTAGATGTTATAAAAAAAGGAAGAAACTAATAATTTAACAGCTTATAAATTAGGGAGTGTGTGAGAACAGTTAAACAGTTAAATAACTGTTAAACTAAAATATTAAGGTCAAACTATTCAGGAAGTAGAAGTGTGACTTATTAATTATATATGGTAAAATTGCAAGGTAACCCTAAAGGAATAGAAATAGTATAATTTATAATCCAATAGAGAGGAAATAATTAGGAAAAAAAAAAAAAAAAAAGGCCAGGAGAGGAAAAAGCACAGGAAAAGCAGAACAAACAGAAAAAGGTAAGACTGAGGTCCAAGTGTGTTAGTAATCACAATAAATACAAACGGACCAAGAACTATCGATGAAACAATAAGAGATGATCAGATTAGATAAAGAGAAATTCTAAGCATATGTTGTTTATTACCTCTCTGGGCCTCAAGAGAGTCATCTCCAACGTAAGAACATGAGAGTATAGAAGTAAAGAGATAGAAAATGATAATAAAAATATTGAACAGAGAGAGTAAAGCTAAGAGAGTTTTAAGATCAAACGAAATAGACTTTAAAACAGAATGCTATAAGGAACAGAAAGGGCCAAATACATCATGATAAAGGAGCTCTGGTAGCATACTGGTTGGTTACAAATTGGGCTGCGAACCTTAAGGTCAGCAGTTTGATACTACCAGCCGCTCCACGGAAGAAAGATGAGGCTTTCTGCTCCCGTAAAGATTTACAGCCTCAGAAACCCTGTACAGGGTCGCTGTGGGTCAGAACCGACTCAACAGTACAATAACAACAACATCATGATAAGAGAATCAATGTACTATGAAAAGTTAACATTTCTAAGCTTACATGCACCTAATATTAAGTCTTAAAAAGTGTTAGAACTACATATGGGGGAGAAATGGACAAGCCCCCCACTTCTTCATTACTGCTAGATCAGGCCCAAAGGAGTGAATGGGAAGTGAAATAGAAATCATCAGTGTAGACACTCTTGAGAAATTCAACTTTAAAAGAAATAAGGTGGTTGAAGGAGGATGTGGGGCCCAAGGAGGGGGCAAGATGGATGATTCTAGAAGATAACCTGTGTGCTGAGAGGAATAACTCAGAACAGGAGGACACTAGCAATACAATGGAGAAATAACTGGACAGGAGAGTGGGGCACACAGAATACGGAGCACTAGTCACTGACGGGACAGCAGAGTGGCCACAATGCAGGTAGCGTTATGGATTTGGTCATGGGAAGATGAGGGAATTTTGCTCTGATGTCTTCTACTGACTGGTGTTAGGGGTGTATGGGTTCGGGGCGTACCCTGAGCTACACAGATTCCTACTGCAGGTACACAGTTCGGTGAACACAACCTCCCCTTACTCCCACCTGTATCATCCCCCGTCCCCTGCCTTGGTGGGCAGCCCTGTTCTATGGGTGGACCAGTCTTCAGGCCACTCCCCTGCATGGAGCACCTTGTGAAGGCAGGGAGAAACCTGGCACAGAGCAGAGAGGGGTATGGCACACAGCAGCTAGAAAATTCTGCCCTGAGCCTCGCAGCTGGCCATCTGCAATCTTAATGAGATGGACAGACAGAGCGGCTGTAGCAGAGGACAGAGGGAGGGAGGGCTCAGGGGTGAGATGTGAATGTGTGGGTGTCACTGGGGGAATTCTGGGCAGACTCTGAGTCCAGAGTGAGCTGGCCTGTAGATTCTGGTGTCCCTGGGCCCATGTCCCCTCAATCACAGTGAACCTAAGCTAGGGAGGGTCATGGGCTCAGAGTGGCAAGCTACCCTCCCCCAAGTCCTGTGGCTGGAGAAGACATGCTGGGAATGAGCAATGGGGAGGAAGTGGGGAGACAAAGCCCTCACTGACACTGCCCGATGCCTACCCTACCCAAGCTCTCCTCAGTAGTGAGCCTAGGGAGCCCCAGGCTAGTATCAAAGGCTGCAGGTGCCTCTACACCTGGACAGCAGGAGGCTGTAGCCCACCCACGCAGGCCCCTGACACCTCTCACCTGGCTTGTGATGTCTGAAGGCATGGGTGAGGGGGGCTTGGAGTAGGCGGCGTCCTGAGAGACGAAGCCTGAGTCGTGGGAGGAGACACTGGAGAGGCGGGCAGTGGTGGTGGCTGGCTGCGCCAGGCTGCGGTAGCGACAGGTGGAACTGGGTGAGTATGTTTGGGCGCCCCCAGGCCACGGGGCTCCGCCACCCTTGGCACTGCTGCCGCTGCTGGGGGCGCTGGGGAGTGAAGGAGGGGGCATGGCAGCCAGAGAGGGAGACACAGGGTGTGTGTGGACAAGGGTGACAGACGAGGGTGGAGAGAGGTGAGGGGCAAAGGAAGGAAAAGACAGCGTCAGACTAGAAGGTCCTGGGCCCCAGCCATCACATGGAGCTGGGTTCTGGGACAGGATGGCAGGGGATAGCACCCAGTGTTGGTGCTCAGGGAAGCTGCTGTCAAGGTAAGCCCAGGGTGAGCCCTACTCTGCCTTTAGGTTAACAGTGGGGAAACTGTTCTCTCAGCTGGCCTGGACACAGACACCAACTCTGGGTATGCTTCCAAGTCTGGCCTCTGTCACTGCTTGGTATTGGGGTGTCTAGCATGTGGCAATGGTCTGTCATGGGCCTGGGCCCGCTATCACCCTCAGCCCCTCCACCCCCTCTGTGAAGCTGCTTCACTCCTGGATGATGTTCCTAGTGGTAAAGGGTGCTCTCCCTCTAGTCCCTGCCCTTGGTCTACCCAGGCGACCGACGCTCCTTTTAGTGACAAGCACCTGCCCATGGTCTCGACCTACTCCAGCAGAGCTGGCCTGCTCCCTCCTATACCCTGAGTGCCCACCTGAGGTGGTTCTGGGGTTGGGGCTGCCTGGCACAGGGACCTTCCCCTCCCCGGTCCCCATACCTTGTATCTTAGACCTCTCTCCTAAATCAGCCCCAGTGCCAGCCTGAGGAAGGGCCTTAATGGCTGAGAGGCCCTGCACTGTCCTGGGCACCAGCTCTCAGGAACTAGCCAGCACATGTACCTTCCATCTTGCGGCCTCATCCACACCCCTTAGAGTCTTTTTCTTTCTTTTTTTAAACTTTCTATTGTGAATTGGAGTCCTGGTGTGGTACTGCAGGTTGATGCCCTGGACTGCAAAGTTGGCTTGAACCACAAGGTTAGTGGTTCAAACTCACTAGTTGCTCCTCAGAACCCCTAGGGTTGCTGTGAATTGGAACCGACTTGACAGCCCTTAACAATTGTGAATTGAGGGGAAGGTTTACAGAGCAGATGGTCAGTTTTACATTCAATAAATAAATCATACACTTAGTTTTAAGGAGCTCTGGTAGCGTAGTGGTTACGAATCAGGCTGCAAACCGCAAGGTCAGCAGTTCAAAACTACCAGCTGTTCCGCGGGAGAAAGATGAGGCTTTCTGCTCCCGTAAAGATTTACAGCCTCGGAAACCCTGTGCAGGGTCACTATGAGTCAGTTCTGACTCCACGGCACACAGCCAGCACCACCACACTTAGTTTTATCTCAGTGACTGTAACCCCCTCCATGTAGCAAGAGTTAGCCTGCTTCTTCCCTGTGCGTCCTGTTTCCATCCCACCTCCCCACCCCTTCTTTAACCTTAGGTACGTGTCGCCCTTTTGATTTTGAATGAGTGACCATTACACCATTCATAGTGATGGCCTTCGATTCTTACTATGTCCCCAGACTGCAGGGCTTGGTTGAGCCACTGCATGCCTCAGTTTCCCTTTCTGTCAGGTTGGTGGTGGATTCAAGGAAGAAAGGTATAAAGCCTAGAGCATGGTACCAGGTGCAGTTAAGAGTCCAGAACCAAGCTCCTGCTGTCTCTTTCCCATCCACACTTGCCAACAAATGCGACTGGGGCACATTGTACAAAGTGTCTGAATTTGGGCCCCCAATGTGACTCTTACAGCAGTGGGGCTGGACGCTCTTCCCCAAAGTGACTCTTAGAGCTGGACTCTTGGGGCTGGATGCTTTTCCCAACTGACCTGCATACGCTGGGCTTGCGGGAGCCAGAGCTGCCAGGTGACGAGGGGGGTGTCTGGTAGGACCAGCTGTAGTCTGAGCCCTTCAGATCTTTGATCACCTGAATGGGGGGACAGGTGAGGGTCACCGAGGCAGCTTCTGTCCTGCTTCCCAATCATGACGTAGGCCCCGGAAGGTGGCCCTGGAGAACCTGCACGCCTCTTCACCCCCAGGAGATTAGTTGGAGGCCTGGCATGGTGCCTTAGGATCAGCCCTCGACCTCAAGGTTGGTTTAAACCTCAAGATCAGTGGTTCAGTCTCACCAGCTGCTCCTCAGAAACCCTATACAGGGTCCTTATGAGTCAGAAGTGGGAGATTTAGCCGCTCGGATACTCAGGGACATGGACCCCAGTTGGGGTGAGACTGGTAGAGCATGCAGACACGACTGAGCCTGACACCAGGCATCAGGTGGGGAGGCGGCGGGCACATGGTCTACACCTAATAGGTGGGGAGGCGGTGGGCACACAGTCACCACCTAATAAGTCAGGTGGGGAGGCGGTGGGCACATGGTCTACACCTAATAAGTCAGGTGGAGAGGCGGTGGGCACACGGTCACCACCTAATAAGTCAGGTGGGGAGGCGGTGGGTGGGTACACGGTCTACACCTAATAAGTCAGGTGGGGAGGCGGCGGGCACACGGTCACCACCTAATAAGTCAGGTGGGGAGGCGGTGGGCACACGGTCACCACCTAATAAGTCAGGTGGGGAGGCGGTGGGCACACGGTCACCACCTAATAAGCGCAATGGTGAGATGACGTAGACAGAAGAGGTGATGGTGTTGGCTGGGTGTGTTCCCAGGGATGGTCTATGGGCAGATCTAGAACTGTCCTCTCTGCTGTGTCAAGAGACCCTATCAGACCTCCATTCCACCCCTCACATGGGCAGGTGCTCCTGGCCACTCATCCACCCACATGTCTGGGCCTCTGCCTCCAGATGCTGTCTCCTTTTCTCCTCTACTCTTGTCCCCAATCAAGGGCAGACCATCCCCTCCCCTCCCCTCCCCTCCCCTCTCTTGACCTTGGGGCTGGCCGCACCTGCTCGCTGGCGGGGGGCAGCTTGTGGGGCTCTGCTGTCAGCAACACGAGGTCATCGATGATGCCCTGAAGGTGGGTGATCTCCCCCAGCATGGTCAGCTCGCCATTCTGAGGAGGCGGAAAGTCAGCCTGCCTGCCACCCACAGGCCCCTCCTTGCCCACCTGCCCCACTGTCCCACGCTGCTCGGGATTTATGGGAGCTGGGCCACACCAAATCAGCGCAAAAGCTACAAACCCCACCAATGGGCCGGAACATGTGGCTCCCAACCAGGGATGGAGGTTCAAGGGTCAACCTTGGTCCCCAGCCCAACCTGCTGAGCCTCAGAAGTCATCAAGAGCTGATACCCAGTGGTTCTTGAGACCCAATGCTTGGAACTCTCCCCCTCAAGGAACCTCTCAATGGGCATGATGGGTGGCACCCACCACCACAGGCTGCAGGAAGGTGATGAAGGTGCAGAAACGACCTCGCTCCTCAATCAGGGCCCGGCGCACAGCCTGCTTCTCTGTCTCCTCCAGCAGCAGGTACATGTCGTTCACATCCTGTAGGGCACTGTCCAACTGGGGCTGAAGGTCTCCTTTCCCTGGAGGGTAGGGAGAAGAGCCCTTGCTGGAGAAGCTGGCCCAGCTCAAGGCACTGATAGCTCAGGCTCCATGGTGGCATCCCTAGGCTGGGGGACTGGGCACTGTCTGGGGGCCAAGGGGCTGGGGAGGGCAGTCAGGACATTGGGAATTTGTGAAAGGGCTGGTCCCAGCAGAGCAGACAGAGAGAACAGACAGACACAGGAAAGATACCAAAGCTGCAAAGCCACCTATAACTTGGTGTGGAGGGCAGAGCCAAGCTACAGGCAGTTTCCAGGAGCCCTAGGGCATGGCTGGCCCTGTGGAACCCACAACAGCTACATCCACCCACAGGGATGCGTGCCCTGCTGTGGACAGTACTGTCCTCATCCAGGGATCAGTAGAGCTAGGGGGCAAGGAAGGGCGTGTCTCCATGTGGCTACCACTCATTCAGGGAGCAACGCACAAGGACAGTGACACATAGCAGCAGCAACAGCAAGAGAGAGAGACAGAGCCAAGAGCAGGATGAGGAGGGGGTGAGGTGAGCTGTAGTGAATCTGGACAGGCTGTGCTCCCCACTCCGCCCTGGCCGACCGACCCAGTGATCACCCCGAACTCATTCCCCAACCCCCACCCCCCCCTCGCTGACCAACCGCCTTCCTTGCTCCTCCTTCCTGGCCTGGAGAGGCTCCTTCCAATGCCCTGAGCTGGGGGAAGACAGACAAATGCGACAAGGACGGAGGAGCAGCTGGAGGGACGGACATTTGACTTACCAAGTAGCTCTACAGGAAAGATGTGGGAGGAGGAGAGGAGAGACAGAGAAAGAATGTGTGAAAGACAGCCGGATGGAAGAGCCACTCCAGGGGTGGGGCGGGACAGCCCTGGGTCAGATCTGGGGTTTGGGGTGGTTCCCTCTCTGTCCCACCCAGCAGTTGGATGGTTTCTGTGTGGGGACAGAATCCTGGTCAGGAGAATGCTCTGGGTGCTCCAAGGGCAAGAAGAGCCATGGAGAGGGTCCCTGGGGACTTTTGCCAGGCCTGCTGGGGCTGGGCCTGGGTGGGCTCAGTCCGGGCCGTACCTTTTCGGGCTTTCTTTTGCAGCTTCAGCGTGTCTGATGATTTCTTCTTGATCTCATGACGGGCACGTTTGTACTCTACAGAGGGGGCACAGAGAGGGTTATAATGGGGGTCTGGCGCTCCCTAGAGAGGGTAGGCCAGGTTGGTGCCCACCTTTCGCGTGGTCTTTGTCCAGTTGGTTGGCTGATTTCTTCCAGTCTTCGATGCGTTCCTGCAGCGGGTTGATGAGACTCTCTAGCAGCGCACTGCGGGCGGGTGGGGTGAGAGGTCAGGGGGGGCGGGGCCGGCTATGCTGTGAAATCCCACCTCCCCTCGCGCGGCGCCCACTCACTTGGTGAACTGCCGCAGCTTGGTTTCAATGCTGCGGTGGCGCATGCACATGCGCGTGAGTGCTGAGCCGATGTCCCGCGTGGCCCCTGGCGAGGCAAGCATGCAGCGTGGGAAGGGGCACGCCAGAGGCCTCTGCAGTCCCGGCCTCGGGCCACGAGGGGGCGCACTTGACCACACCCTGCGCCTCTTTACCCCCACCCCATAGGTGGGCAAGTCCGCTGCAGCGCCGCTCCTCAACGGCCCTGATGGGTTTGTCATACCTCAATATTTATCAAGCTCCTTTTCTAAGGAGGGTCAGCCATGCCAGCCTTCTGCCACTGCAACTGCAGCATCCTGTTGACCTGCCTCCTCCTCCCTTCTCCCCCTCCCCAGTCCCACCCCACAAGCTGGTAAGAGGATGGTGTCATATTGTCTAAGGCAGACCTACCAAACTCTCCTAGCCTGCCCAGAACTACCCTCCAGGTGTGCCAAGTGTGGGTGTGAGCTTAACCCTGCCCCCTGCCCTGTGTTCCTATCACCCGAAGAACAAGGGCCCAGGTCCCCACTCCTGAAACCAAAAGGCAAAGGTGGCCCCAAGCCCACCAGGAAAGTTCCCTTGTCTCATGTACTCCCGAAGGGCAGACAGGTGAGTGAGAATGGGTGGGTGGAATCCGTAATCAGACTCACTGTACAGGTGGGTAAACAATGTGGCTGAAAGAATCAAATGTCACCCATAGCAAGAATGCAAGATCCTTGTCCTGGCTCACCTACTGCTGCTTGCATGCCTCTACTGATGAGGGCCTCACTTCTCCACAACCAGCCCATTTCCATGAGGGAGCAGAACCCAAGGTCCCGGCTCTGTGCCTGGGGTCTTCTCCCCAGCCCACATCCCACCCAGCCTTTCCAGTCTTCAAGCCCACCCTCCGGCCATGTCCCCTCCCCACCTCGGGTGTTGGTGGCCATGTCGGCCACTTTCTGGAAGGCATCCAGGAAGGCCACAGCAGCCAGCACAGTAGTCCTGGGGAGATGACAGTGGGGGGGGGGGCCCTCTGTGGGTGTAGGGTCCTCTCGTCCTCTGCCCTCCCCTCCTGGCCTGGGGTCCCCTTAGCAAGCTCACCTTAGTTGGGAGTGCAGCTTCGTGGCTTTGGAGTTGAAGTCCTCCCAGATTGGGTAGGAGCTCTGTGGAGGTGGGGGGGAGATGGGTGAGGCAGTGTGACTTTCTGGGGGGTGGGGCTCCTCCACACAGATGGTCCCCCACCCATTGGAGAGTGGAGCCCTTCTCTAAGGGGAAGTGTGAGCAGGATCAAGTCTGGTCAGCACAAAGGGGACCTGCCTCATTCCTTCCCTGACAGCCAGGGTGTCCTCGATCCTGCCTTGAGGGGCACCCTGTCCCCCTAGATACTTGTCAGGGCTGGTGAGCACCAAGCTGTCCACCTGACACAGGGGGCAGAGGCAGTGGAGAGCTGACAGGACCCCCACCCTGTGCCCCGGAAATTGCTGCCCGGCCTGGCCAGTCACCCCAGGCTGGAGCAGGCCGAGGTTGCTGTGAACCAGCCAGGCCTGGGGCTCAATGGGGCCTTGTACAGCCAACAGAGCCACCTTTCTCCAAGGCCGGCCCTCCTCCCCTCGGGGGGAGGGGGGGAACAGTGTGGCCTTTATCTCAGTCTGGCCCAAGGCTCTGAGCTGGGAGGGGGTTTCCCAGTAGGGAGACTGGGCCACCAATCCTGACCACCGACTTGTCCAGTCTGATCCTAAGGTGCCCTCACCTCCACTGCTGGGTCCCAGGGAAGCCTTGGTCTGAGCCCAAGGGTCCTGTGGAGGGAGGAGGCTGTGTTTCCTAAAGGGGGGTTCTGGGCCAACAAAGCCCCAGCCCCAAGGGGCCTCTGACCCGTCCATGCAGGCTAGTCCTCTGAAGTAGGGTGGGGATTGCCCCAAGGACAAAAGAAAGCAGGGACCCCAGCCTCTGAGTGTTCAGAGGGTCCCTGTGGTAGAAACCCTGCGGTGGGGCGTGGTTGATTGGTCTGATCTGCTGAGGGGCTGTGGGTCTAAGGCAGCTCCAAAGGGGCTTTCATGGTAAGGGGAGTGGGCAGCCTTGGGGAACCACAGAGATGCCCTTTCCTCTCAGTCTGAACAAACCAGTGCCCAGGGAAAGCAAATATTTGCGAAGTTTACCCAGGGTGGAGCGGGACGGGGGGCTGTGGGTGGGCTGTCTCCAGCAAACATAGCTCTGGGTAGAGGATCTAGGAGGTTGTCCTGAGAAGTCCTTTAGTCTAATCACCTTGACTCCCCCTCTAGGGGGCAAAGCTGAGAGCCAGCTGTCCTGGCCCCCAGGAAACAGCCTTAGCCCCCTCCAAGATCTGGACAGTCCCAGAGAGCAAGGGGCAGAGCTGGGAGAGCCAGGTTCTGATCCCATTATGCCCCTGCACTGAGAGTCCACCCCACACCTTCACACTTTCTCTCCAGATGGGAAGGGGGACGAGTTGGAGGAGGCCAGGCACACTTCCCTCTCGAAGATGGACTGGGTCACCTCAGTCTCTTAAGTTCCTGGGACTTCCTCCTCCCCTACCGCTGCCAAGTCATATGGCCCCCAGAGAGGCAGGCCATGACCTTTCAGCTACTGAAAGAGCAGATGAGGAGAGACTGAGGGGTTGGAGCCCCAGGGAAGCAGTCCTTGTCCCCCCTCACTCCCCACTCCTCATCCCCGTGTCTGCCTTTCCGGGTAATTTATTACCACAGGTAACAATGAATACTGTGGGTTAAGTGCTAACTGTGGGCCAGGCACTGTGTTCCAAAGTGTGATCTCATCAAATCCTAAAAACAGCCCTTGTTGTTACTGCACCATTTTACAGATGAAACTGAGGCCAAGAGAGGCCACAGAGTGGTGGCATCAAGGATGTACAGGGAAATGGGCACTGGCCTCAAAGAGGGGAGGTGGCAGGGACACCTAGTTCTGCCTCAATGGGTAGCTTGTCACTAGTGTCCAAAAGATAGGGATTGGCGCGCTGAGAAAGAGTCTGGTTCTGTGGAGACTCAGTGGAGGATGGTACAGAATGTAGCTTGGGCAAGTAGCCCAGACTCCAATCCCAGACACAGGGATTTCTGGGTGATCCTGGGCAGAGGCCCCCTCTTTGAGCCTCAGTTTCCTCACCCGTGAAGTCAGAGTAGGAGCCACACCCCCGCCAGGGGGCACTGTTTGGTAATACCTAGTACATGTTAGTGGACTACAGCTCCTGCCTCAGCTAAGAGCCCCCTCCCCCGAACCTGGCCAGGACTTCCCCACTCTAGAAGGAGATAAAGATGAAGACCCGGGTGCAGGGTGGAGGCAGGCCTCATGTGTTCTGCAGAAGATGCTGTATCGGTGGTGCCCTGTCTTGTCACTTGGGCAAGTCCTTGCCCCTCTCTGGGCTTCAGTGGCTATATGGAGGACTCTAGTTCCCAAGCTGGTAACTTCCCCCAGGTATAGCTCAGGAAGGCCTTCCCCACCTCCCCTGGCTGACTTGACCTCCTCTTAGCCAGGAATGGCCTCAGGGAGAGCTGGCTTTCCAACTGGCCAGCTGGCCAGCAGCCATGCTCCCTTTCTGTGGAAGCCCTGCTGGCTTCCGAGGCTCTGGCCATCGAGGGAATCGGACAGAAGTTGCCCCCAAGATCCAGGTGATTGGTTTCCAGGTGCTCCTTCTCTGTCCCCCTGTCCCCACTACCACATGTCATGGGGATGGAGACAAGGGGGGTACTGGGCATCATCCCAGCTAATATTGCTCCCATTTTGTCTCCACATGTCTGAAAATCCTCCTCAAAGTCTAACCTGGATCTCTTCTTATGATCTAGGCCCAGTTTCTTTCCTCTTGTCTCTAAGTTCCTTGCAAATTGACTGGTGATGGATGGTCACCGCCCTCCCCCTCCTTGGAGTGAAAGCTGCTGCTCTTTGCAGTGTTTACTTTGAGGCTGGGGTGCATTGAAGGGAGGGGACTGTAGGGGGAAGTTCCACTCCAACCAGCCCTGAGTGGCCAGGGAAGATGGCCTGGGTTGCCCTCTGTCTCAGAAAGGGGTCCTGGTGTCAGGGCTGTGAAGGCCATAGGGTAGGAGGGGCTGCTGAGGACCGGGATGTCTGCAGGCCTTCAACAGGGGCCTGGAGGTGGAGTTGCATGGGATGGAGGTTGCAGAGGTCCACCCATCCCAAGCCAGAGGGGGGTGTCCACATGCTGCTAATCTAGTAGTCTCAGGCCAGGTTTCAGGAGGATGGGACCTGGCAGCTGCTCCTGTCCCCACCCCCCCACGTCAAGTCTGGAGCCCCACCTCTGGCCTGTGTGTACTGTCCCCTTAGGACCCAGTCCCGGTGTGCTGTGGTGTGTGGTGCTCCCGCCTGGGCCCGCGATGGCACTGTGGGATTCTGTGTTGTGCGCTTGGTGAGCATGTAAGATGCCGTGGGGGTGGGGGTGGGGTCTCAGGAGTTCTCGTGGGAGTCCAGGATTTTCTCCTTCTCTGTTGCCCCCACCATTCATTAGGCCCCTTTATTAGGCCAAGGAAGGGGGCAGGGACTTCAAAGCAGGTAGGAATGCTGATTCCTGGCCCACGCCCTGTAGCGGGAACCTTCTCTGCCTGGTCATCTGGCCAGCCCTGCCCAATTTTCATTTCACTGGGGGAGAGGTTCCTCCCTGCCTGCTAGATAAACAATGAATGGCTGAGGTCTGCGATTGGGCCCAACAGTCTCCTCGGTGACCTTGAGCCAGTTCTTGTCCTCAGTTTCCCCACCCCATAAGCCAGTGGAGAGCCGGAGATGGGGTGGCTTGCTCTAGCCTGACCTTGGGCAATGATTAGGGGTGGTGGGTTGCAACTGAGCTCGGTACGAGCTCCCTCAGCTTTCCTTCCCCCACTCCCATGGTAATGGCCTTTCCTTGGGATAGAGGGCTGGGCTCCTGGGGGGCTGGGCTGGGCCAGGTGCTGCTACTGAGACCGGCGGGGAAGGAGTTAACGGGTTCCCCTTTATTATTTTTCCCTGCTTTGGCGGTGACAGCATTGTCTGGGCTCCGTGGCCGCGGGAGGTGGGGGCAATGATGGTGGAAGGGGGCGGCGACTGGCAAGACCCCCGACCCGCTAAAGGGTCTTAGAATCCTTTGGGAGCAAACCCCACTGGTGGTTCGGACGTGTGAGGCGCCGACAGTACTGTAGCGCGCGGGCAGTACGCTTGTGCGGAGGCTCGGAACCCCACGGGGCGCTGAGACCCTGGTGACCTGGACCACAGACAGTACCGGACGGACACCCCGACACAGGCATCCACACCTCCTCATACACGGACCCTCAGAGACCTACGCTCTCAGCAGGGGCAGGCAGGACACGCAGCCAAGGACACACAGACACCGCGGCGCACGGACACGGCGGGGCCTGGCTGCCTGCCGCCACGCGTCCCGAGGGGACCACACACCCGCGCCCGGCGGCCCGCGCGGCCCCGTTACCTTCATGTCGTTGACGATGGCCTGGAAGAGCCCTCCTAGGGCACCGCACTCCTTTTCGGCCGTCTCCATGCTCGGGCCGGGCGGCGGGGCGCAGGGAGCCGTGGAGGGAGGGCGGCGGTGGGCTCACGTTCTGAGGCCCGACTGGGCCTCCGCCTTCGGGCCGCGCTCAGCGACCGGCCGCGCGGCGCTCCGGGGTTCCGGG